TTTAAATTTTAGCAAGTCATTTTTGTTGTTTGTAATCTTTCAACACTTTCAAACAAGAAAAATTACATTTGTGTTTGCTACCTCAATTCAAATTTAAGTCAAAAAGCATTCTTAATTAATTTTTAACAAATTTTGTCCAACTATTTTTAGGAATTAAAGTAAACTTTTAAAAACATTCTTAATTCAGCTCTAAATTGCGCACAAGCCTATTATGAATATCATGAGGTTTTCATGCCATTAAAAACAGAATAATTAAAATATGCTAAACTACAAGTTCAATTTTTTCATGAATTTCAGCCTTATAATGAGATAATGAGATGTCTGTCTTTATTACAACCACCAGAGAGTTATGCTTTTTTATTTGAAGCCCCAAAAATAAATGTAATTGAATTCAGAAACTAAAAACACGTTCATCACAGAAGAGTTGCAGTGATTCAAGATGACGTCCCATTACTATCTGTATGTATTTGTGAGTATATATACATACAGTTACTCTGTGAGAGTAAGCACCTATTTCTGTGCATATCCAATCTTACTCCTAGAACCTTTCTAACAAACACACACACACACACACACACACACCCCTTTCCAGTGTGTGTATGTTGAGATAAAGGCAGCAGTTCAGCTCCGCTCCCCTCCTGCAATGAAATTCCAACAAATTCTCAAATTGCAGCCAAATTGAAAGCACATTGGCGAGTGAGCGGCAATCACTAATAAAATCTGAATAACTGACCAACAGCAAAGTCAAAACAAAACCACCTCCAGCACCATCGAGCTCCAGCAGCAGTACCTATTCACCAGCTTTGCATCTTCGGCTCGTTCTGATGCGTGTGTGTGTGTGTGTGTGTGTGTGTGTGTATTTGTGTACTGTATGAGTCAGCGTTTGCTTGCAGTTTGGCCAGAGACGGGACTCGACCCTGCCCTGCTCCGCTGTGTATAAGCAACGACACGGTGGAATGTTAATCAGACTCTATGTAAACACCACAGCATGTACACAGATGTGTATGAAATGATTACGCTGCCGACTGTCACACTGGCAAACAGCGAGCCGATGGATGCATGTGTGTGTGTGTGTGTGTGTGTGTGCGAGTGTGTTTGCGGATCCAGGCCCAGTGTGTGAGCAGAACCAGAAGGCTTTATTGTGATTGTGTTTGTTTGTGTTGCGAGAGGAAAGAGATCATCTTTGGTTTCAAACCCTGAGCCCCGGGGCTCTAAAGAACTCACGCTAGAAAACATATGGACCTACATACATGCACACACATGTAAACTACACGAAACATGGTCCTCTTAAAGAGACAGTTCACCTAAAGTAATGTACATTCTGTTATTTACTCACCCTCATGTTGTGGTTTATATTTTCAGAATGTTTCAACTTTTTGCTCATAAATAAGGTCGTACTTTTAACAGTAAAAACCTGTTAATTGGCTAACGGTGAGTTCCCTAACTCTAAAAACAGCAATATATCTAATGGGTCATTTCATGTAATTTCACAGTAAAATACATTTAAATTGTCAGCATTTTGGAAGTGAAAAAGAACAAGTCATCTTATAATTTACAGTGAAAAAAATGTAACTTGAAATTTACAGAATTGCCTGTTTGATAGCTCACATTTGAATTGGTTTTTTGTTGTTGTTTTTTTTAGTTACATATATTGGGTTTTTGTTACATCTTTAACATTGATTTATCTCTTTACCACATGTGTTCTTAGGGTGGTTGTCAGTATAAAATAAAATCATTATTTCCATTAATTATTTGCTGTGTTATTATTATTATTATTATTATTATGAATAATAATAATAATAATTTTATTTTTGTTATTATAAATGTCAATCTGTAGACTTATAAAGGTTCCAAAAGGGGGTCATTTCTGGTTCCCAAAATTATTTTTAGTGATCAGTTCTTTGGAGAATCTTGCAGAACCACCTTTTTTGTGTGTGAAGAACATTTTAATAATCTAGAGAAAAAAGAAAAAAGAAGAATAAGAAGCTTTTAGTGGAATGGAAAGGTTCATTGGAGGTTAAAATTTCTTCTTGCATCCAACATGGCAATAAATAACCTTTATTTTGAAGAGTGTGAAACTTTGAATTGCTGCTTCCATATTTTTTTAATAGTTTTTTTTTCTATGTAAATTTCACAGATTATTTTATTTTTTATTTTATTTTATTTTATTTTATTTTATTTTATTTTATTTTATTTTATTTTATTTTATTTTATTTTATTTTATTTTATTTTATTTTATTTTATTTTATTTTATTTTATTTTATTTTATTTTATTTTATTTTATTTTATTTTATTTTATTTTATTTTATTTTATTTTATTTTATTTTATTTTATTTTATTTTATTTTATTTTATTTTATTTTATTTTATTTTATTTTATTTTATTTTATTTTATTTTATTTTATTTTATTTTATTTTATTTTATTTTATTTTATTTTATTGAAAATCAGTGGGTTTCAATGGGTTGCTTTGGACCTTTGTTTTGGACCATTGTCTTTAATTTTATGGAAAAACACTGAGACATTTTTGAAGATAGCTCCTTTTGTGTTCCAGAAAGGAATAAAAAAGTATTCAAATAAATTGAGGGTGAGTAAATGATTTTTGGTGGGGTGAACTATGCGTTTAAAGTCACAAACAGGTAAAAGGAACACAAATGTCTTCTGGCCGAGAGTGAGTAGCCTCTGGTAGATTGGACCATTGCTCTTATTAATATTTAATTTTGACTCGGGACGTGTTCCAAGGCAATACAAATGGTGGAGCGAAGGATTACGAACCATTTCTTCTGTTTCCAAAACACACAGGCTAAATCAAAGAAAGAGCGGAAGGCAGATCCACAGTGCCCGGCGCATAAGCTCTGGCTCAGTCCCGGGGCATTCGTCCCTAATGAAAACTCCAAAACCGAGTTCTCTTAAAAAACAAAAAAATTAAAAAAACACCTGACAGCTCGCAGACAAGCCGGGCTCTGCCATACAACTCACAATGGCTCTCTGTTATACTCCGAGTCTGTATGCAGGCCCACAGCCTGGCCACCAGCACAAAACCGTTGACACCCACGGAATAAAGTTCCCATTACCTCACAGCAGAATCCATCACTATTTTTTAAGGAGGACCGTTTTAACCGCTGTTGGGACTCCACCCACCTCAGAAGCGGGCTGCTGTCACAATGTTTGGATGGGCCAGCTGCTCTCGCCATCCCAGCAAATTGCATCTAAATGCGCCCCTTCGGAGAATGCGTAGCTCTGTTTACTGACGCGATTCTCGTGCAAACAATTCACTCACAGATGCGGCGTGTCCTCCGACAGTTCGCTTATAGATGGCACTGATGTTTTAAAGTGGATGAGTGGACTTAGTTTTCGCCAAAGCCGTGGGATTCTAGCCAAAACATGCGGGGAAATAACATAAGAAGTCCTTTGGAAGAGAAATGGGGCAAGATGCCTCTGTTGTAAATTAGGGATAAACTTTCCCGTGCAGTGTGTAGGCAGGCATGTCTCCTGAGGCCATGCACCTGGGCTTCATCTCTCTAAGTCTGGGGCCGAGAGCGCTCAGGGGGAGATGCTCTGGACGGGATGGTTGCTGAAATTCATAATCATTGCGACTCTGCCAAACCAAATGCATCCAGTAAAAGTCAAGCAGGTGGAGCGAGACAGGAGTCCTCCCTACTAAAGCCTTCCAATGGAATAAAAAGTGAATGTAATGTGCAAACTATTAAAAAGTATGTTATAAAATATTGCTGTAAACTTGATCTCAGTGTGGTTTGAGTGACTAAAAACAATGACAGCAGCCATGTGGAATAAACTAGGCTCCATTTCGTGCATGGATAGTCATGCATTAAACAGTTACAATTACTTCCAAACATTTTACTGTTGTGGTACCATTATTACAAGCTTTTCTTAATAGTTTGGGAACAATTTATTGGTCAGTTGCTTGGCACCTCATAAATAGTCATAAACAAAATATAAACACTGCTCTAAAACGTCTTCGGGGTGATTTTTGATGAAATTGCAATTAAGCTGATTTTGTTTTGAAGTCGTTAATGCATTCTGTCATGAGACAGTCATACTAGTGTGAGATTAGTTATTAAGTTATATATTTATGTCTTAGGTACACAAGCTGTCACTGGGGCACTGTCCTTTCAAAAGTACACTTGTGTACCTAATTTACCCCTAAAGGGTGCTTATTAATACCTTAAACGTACATATTATTACCTTTTGAAAGGGTACACTCTCATAAAAAAGGTCACTGGAACGGTACACTTTCAAAAGTTACACCTTATTTACACCCAAACAATCGCATTTTAGTCCTTACAAGGTACATGTTTGTACCTAAAGTGTACATGTTAGTACCTAAATAGTACATATTATTTTTTCTACAGCTCTTGCATAATTTATTTTCTGAGAGTGTGACAAAAATATGAAAATATTAGGGTTACGATATATTCTGACATCATAAAGCGAGGCATTGAAAAGCAGTACACATTTGAAGGCACAAAAACACTAAGAGAATGGCAGCAAAAGTGAAAAACCCAAACTAGCCAATCTCAAACGAATACAAAGAGGTGGTGGACTTACTTTCCCTGAGGTAATTGAGATGTGAGAGCAGGACCTCCGTGTTATAGATGCTGGTAAGTCTCAGGAAGTCCTCTTTGCTCATCTTGCAAAGTTCTTTTCCATCTGTGTTGTGGAACATGGCTGTGTCGATCTCCTGAAGACCATACTCTTTAATGGCCCAGTCTAACCATTGCCGCACATGGTCTGGAGACCAGAGGGAAGGGTCTGGAATGGAAATAAAGTCACAAATTAGCTGGAGACTCAAGGATTAGATAGTTTACAGGCAGTTATCATTGGTTTATATCACCACTTTAATGCGAGGACTAAAGCAGTGAGCAGATCTTTTAGTTTCATTTACAGAAACATTCAGTATTTTCAGAGAAACAAAGTCATCATTTATGCTTTATTAGTGGCTGCAAATGGAAATCCAAAAAATAATGACTGTTCCAAACACACAAAGGGCATGCATTATTCTTATTTTCAATAGTATCTTTGTTTCTCCAGCAACTTTCATTAGGTTCAAGAGCTTGTAACACTCCAAAGAGAAAGGAAAAATTGAAATCGCATCATATGACCCCTTTAAGATTTTGTGGAAAATCAATTGCAATTTCAAGAAAATAATGACATGGATACTGTTGGCTGCTTATGTTTAGAAACAATATTTTTACAGTTCATTTTAGTGCAGCTTTTACACCTTAAAGAGACAGCTCACACATAAACACAAAAAGTCTATCATTATTTGCTCATCCTGCTGAAACCTGTTGATGGTCGCCATTGACAAAAAAAAAAAAATACTGTGGAAGTCAATGGCTACCATCATCATTCTGCAAAATATCTTCTTTCGTGTCCAACAGCTGAAATTCATACTGGGTTTGAACAGTTTGAGAGTGACGAAATAATGACAGATTTATTTATTTTTTTTTGGGGGGGGGGGGTAAACTATCCCTGTAAAAACAGCCTTTTTATAATTAAAATACATCTAATTTATTTTTTATTTTGATACCTCAATGGTACACAGTAATAATCATTTTTTTGAAGTTGCAAATAAAACAGGTTATTTGGAATATGTTTTAAAATAAAATACAATTTCAGCCTTTCTACTTCAAAATTTCACATTTAATTCAATTTGTTATTTGCTATGTTTTTTTTTTTTTGTAATAAATCATGAAATTTACTTACAATTTCTGAGTGAAAGTTGTTTCTACATCATTTTTCCAGTGTATTAAATTTGTGACCCTATAAATGCAGCATTCAATACGCAATCATGACGAGACGAAGTGCGAATACCTGCTGGGACGATAACTCTCCTCTCATTGGTTGTCATGTTTGGGGGCGGAGCACACTTCTCATCCATGTAGCCAGTGTAGCTCATCTGAGATGCGTCGGTCCCACCCACCATTTTATTGCATTTACCCACACTACAGTCCACCGGGGACTCTCTGCTAGAAAGAAAAAAACAGAGTCAGAACGGCTATTGCTTACTAATGCTTATTTCAGACAGAACAACTCACAAACACAAAATAATGGCAACAAAGGGGTTTTTTCTGCCATACCTGGATCCATTGATGTGGTCATACTCTCGTTTGACATGAACCCGGCCCGGCTGGTTGATCCACTCCTGCTGAGGGGGGATTGGGTTGATCTTGTGAGGCTGACCGTAGTCCTGTGCGCCGGACGCAGTCATGTCTGTCTTGGGTAAGGGAGCAGCAGCAGCGTACGGAGGCTCAAACAGAGACTGGTCTTCACTCACCACTGACAGCGCCTCCTGGAGGAGTGAACGGGCCGAAACTGTATCACTGTTTCTCATTAAAGCACAGAGCCAATGACAAATGACTTTCAGTTCATCATGTGTAGCCAGAATTAAGCAAAACAAATTGTAAATTGTTTCTTGCTGAAGGGCAGAATCACAGATGCTGGGTGCAAATGAAGCAGTGCAATTGATTGCTTACATGCACATAGCCACACTACTGCTACGGATACAGGGAAAATGACTTGAAGTCAACAAGGAATGTAACTTGTTTTTCTTCATTTGACATATTTCCATGTGAAATGGGATATTCAATATTGAAAACAAATGTAGAGAAGGATTTTTCCATTGAATTGCATAGAAAAATGAAGTCAGGTGGTTGAAGGGGAGGAGCTAAAAACAGGGATTTGTGATGTCAGCAGAAAGGAAAGTTGTTTCGGAGGTGGAGCAAGTTATTGTGTTCTGATAAAAGATTATGAATGCACTTTTTCTTGGAATAATGTGCACCAATGAATTAAGCACAGTAAAACCTAAAAAAAAGTGCATTATGAAAGTGAATGGGGTAGTACATTTCAATTTCATGTGGAATTGTATGTACCAGGTGGTATTGACAAAAAAATAAAAAATAAATAATAATAATAATAAAAAAAAAATAATAATAAATAAAAAAAAAATAATCATCTGTCACATGCTTTAGGGATATGACTGTCTGCAACAAAAAAAAAATGTGTAGAAAACTTTTCATTAAGAAATTGCTAGTAAATTTCATAAAATAAATAAATAGCAAATTTCACAATTAAATATGAATAATTGTCAAGATTTTAATAAAAAAAAACTGAAATTTTTTTTTTCTTGTAAAACATACTCCAATAATCATTGCCTTAATTACAACTTTGAAATATATATATATATAGTAT